GGGAGAATGGTCATGCCGGAAGCCCTGTCACTTGCCGGGTCATAAGCGACCAGAGCTTGTCATGTCGCCGAGATTCCGAAGACGTACTTCACCGAGTCCGAGAGGACGGCACTCGACTACGACCCAAGGCCCGAGGCTTTCTTGAGCTTAGCGCCCCTCAGCTCTTGACCAGAAGGTTGCCAGAGCTGAAGAACCAACCTGTCTGCAGCCCCTCAACACGGGGAAGGATGTTTTTGGAACCAAAGCCGCAGCCACCCTCAGGGGCGGCTGCTACTCACAGCCACGCTCGCGGCAGCATCAACAGCTGGTGGCCGGATTCCTCATCCCAAGTTCCTTGGCAACTCCGCAGTCAGCTTTCACTGGCTTCAGTCAATAAGTCAGCAACATGGTCAAAACCAGTCGGGCTTTTCCAGGCCATCATACGTGCATACTCTCGCCTAAGCGGTAAGCCCACACGCCACTGATAATGGAGCTTGCCCTTCATTGCCAGCCACTGATGAATGCGAAATTCTGAATCGCAATCTATGTGGTTCTGTTCTGTGCTAATTGGTAGTTCAGAATGCGGTCGTTTGGAGCGGCTTTGCACTTTGCAGGGTATGTGCGCAATCGGACTGGATAAGCGGCTTTGCTGTTTCTTGTACTACAAGGGAAGCGACAAAGCGGACAGTCCACGCACTCGCGTCACCAACTCAGGGGCTTTGCTCGGTGGCTTGTTTACGAGCTGGATACGCACTCTGGACGGGGATCCCGGCGTTGGCGCAGATCGCAGCAAGAGGCCCGTGGCTGAAAAGCCCGTGGCGTCAACGTGGAAGCTGAAGTAGATGACTGCAGGATGACAGGATTTGGACACGCATCACCCTCCATTCATAGTGCCGCAGCCAGGAACTTGCAGACGCTCGGGGCACTTATATACCTGGGCTTCCAGAAGCAATATGTAGCTTGCTTGCACGTGAGGAGCCTTTTGAAGGATCTCTCTGGGCAACTGACGATCGTAAAGGCGTGATCTCAGGACCTCCTCGGGGGTGTTCACGATATTCCAGGACTATCGACGGCAACAAGCGAGCGCCTAACACAGCCTGCCCTGCCAGTTTGCCCTCTGTGTAATCTTGCTGTCGAGCGCATAGTGCTTGGTATTGCCTTCTTTGTGCGCGAAGACTGGCATTCAAGTCCTCCACCTGCAATCATGTGGCAGGTTCGGGCTGGATAAGCGTTTGGTGAACGAAGTCGGTGCCCCTCTGCTAAAGGCATTAGAAGGTCGCCGTGGTGGTGCCCAAGCATGTCAGTGATGCTCCGGCCAGGGTCTTGGCATGTTCAGCTACTGTACGGGTGCAGCAGCGCCGAGGAGTTGGTGGAGAAGTTGGTCGTCTTTTTCACTCAGCCAGACGAAACCTGGTGCAATTATTCAGGGTCCTCCCTCCATGCCTTCATCCTTAACCCTGGACTCCAGGCACACATGTCCATTGTGCAGCGGGTTGAGTCCAACCCTTTCACGGCTGGAAGAATCAAGATTGCCCCCAGAGAGCGTCAAGGAGAAGGTGCCGCCGGAACTGATTGGTGCATCCAGGGCTCAGAGTGCACAGGGTCTTGGGTGCAGCTGCGAAGCGGCATAGAACGTTTAGGTTTAGGTGTTGTCTAGTAACAGAGTTTGGGGGCTCCACTCACTTTGTAGCTTACTTGCTAAGTGATTGCGGTCGACTGTTCGCCCTGGCGGACCGCAGCCAAGTTGCAACAAGTATTCGTACCGGGTTTACGGGGCAAGACAGGTATCAGGGGGGTTTCAGGGTGTGCGTTTCACCAAACGCAACGGAGGAAAGATGCCCCTAATTGTCGGAAACTCCCGCCTGACCAATCATCTGCATGGTGTATCTGTATGTCCAATGCGTATTCCTCACGAAGGAGCGTTCAAGCATTCATTGCCATCTGATGAGGGCTGCAGACCTTGTTTCTCTATCCCAGGTGCTGAGATGGCCGTTCAGGCTGATGACGTGCCAGATGATGAAGCTCCAGCTCCTATGACAGGGTCGGGAGCTCGGGATACAAAGTCCAACTCGGGACCTCGAGCGAACCAGCATGTTAGGTTAGCCTAGACTGGGATAGCGCCGAAAAGTTGTAAGTTGAGGACTCGGGCAGGAGCAAAGCTGGGACCGTATACACAAACATGTTGGGAAGAGACGTGGAAGACGCTCGGAAAACGCCCTGACGAAGCCGCGTGGAAGTGCAGCCGCTGGTTGCTGTCGGCCAGCTAGAAGTTGCACAGGTCGTCACCTGTGTGGAAAGGCGAACCACGGGAGAAGTATAAGTCGATCTGCGTATTGTGCACTAACTAGTCACTAGCTTGTTTGCGAAGGCACAGGTCTCCTTTGTATCAGTTTTTACTGTCGGACAGCGGCTCAGGAGGCATTTTCCAAGACAACCCGTCGACCCTCATAGAGTCGGGCATGCCTTTGGCATCCGCATCAACGAAGCTTTTGCTGTGACCCTTTCCTGGAGAATTGGCACATCTTGAAAAACGTCGCACACAAAAGGAGGGCTCGCTTCAGAGCGGGGCTGAACTCAGACTGAGTCTTTCTGAGGCAGCATGTGTTCTTTACCGTTTCTTTTCGGCACTCCTTCAGTAGCTGCAGCTCTTGCAGTGGTTCTGACAAGTTCTGACATCAATTTGGCATGTGGTTGCACGACCCGAGGCGGAAGAGCATCGCGCCGCTCCCAGTTTACCAGTGGAAGTCGAAGCCATTTGGCCGCCGGGGCCGGGACTCTGGACTTTGTGTTCTTTGCTGCAGGTGGACAGGCTGAAGACCTTTGCGCCTTCGGTGTCCGAAGCTGCTTCTTCCGTCAAGAGCGGCGCTGGTCGATTCAGGCAGAATGCCGCTTATTCGCGGTGCTGTTCTTTTGAGGGCTGGGTCGGGGCCTGGCAGAGCGAAGTGAATATTTGCGGGAAAGCGCTGCTTGAGCCTGAAGCTTCAGCAAGTGCATCTGAGCTGCGTCCTGCGAGGCAGTCTGTAGCTGCGGGCCGAGCGTCCTGTGCTCATTCTGTGGGATTCCAGTTCATGTCATCCTTACACGATGAGGGGCTGCCCTGCCAAGGCGCATGGCGAAGCAGAGAACCGACTTTGTCTCAGATGCATCTGCCAGTTGCTTCTCATTGCCGTTCACTGTTGTTTGAATCATTTCCTGCACGCATTGAGGTTCAGATCTCCGAAGAGCCAGAAGACTCTCACCTGAAGTGGGCAAACATTTACCTGTTGCGAGCTGGGAGGACGACGGAGGAAACATGGTGTCACGACGACGGTCCTAGGGACGTGAAGGGTGATGGGAAGGACTGTCTTCACGACTAATCGCCACGGCCGTGTGAGGTTGCTGCAGATGACTGAGCCCGATAAGAGCCACGTGCTGCACCTCCAAGAGGGCAGCAGTAGATAATGTCAGTGGCCTTGACAGCTTTGAGGCGAGTGGAGTCTATCATATGTTATGGGGGTGAGAAAATGCTGTCAATGCCGCACTGGGTGCTGGAGATTTTCACTCACGGCTCGCACGAGTTGAAGGGATAAATTGTAAGCCACGAAAATATTTTCACACAAGGACATGATCTCGGGCCTGGGTGCCGCAAATGCATTCACTTGCAGAGCGCGCGTTCTGCAGACATGCACGTGCTGTTGACTGGGTTTCGTTGTCCTAGTCAAGTTGTTTATACCTGTGACCCTTCAGCCTGCTCTGCAAGATAAAGGCAGAGTGCTGAACTGCATCTGGGTCTCCTAACGTGCTGATGCTGCACATAGCAGCTCGATGCTAGTGACTTCTAGCAGATTGCCAAAAAGCCTTTCCTGGGTTGCAGCAGTGCAAGTGGAAGACAGTCTGAAGCTTTCTGACGCACATACAGCAGACAGTGGAACCTTGAGCTGTTCATCGCAGCGCTGATGCCCAAGCATTGTCAACTTTGGTGAGATCGCCTTCCACGCAGGCTTTCCCTGACCCTTGTGCTTCGTACATGTTCTCGGTGGTGCTGCTCCTCCAAGTTGTCTGCACTGCTTCGTCTGTGGGACTTGACGGCCCGTCCCCGCTACAGTCGGAAGCTCTCCTGGAAGACGACGAGTGCCAGAGTCCTTCTAACTCTGCTCAGTGCGCACTGAATGCGCTGCAGATCGACCGTACCGCTTCAGAGGAAGCAGGTACTCAAGAGGCAGAGTACAACAGCACGAGCCAAAGGTGGGTTCTCACATTGTACCATCAAACGAGTCACAGTGCTGGAAAGAGTATTCTCAAGCATGGCTTCAGGGCTGGGCACGTTGGTTGGTGTGGTGCCGGGATTTATTTTGCAATGAGTGCGGCAGCAACATCACAAAAGATCAAAGGTCCGGACTCACATGGCGGCTACATGATCGAAGCCAGAGTTGATGTCGGGCGGGTGAAGCACATGCCGTGGCATTGCACCACCAGTCCGAGTTGCAACCATCATCCTTTCGCCAAGTGCCAAGACAGAACAAACAGAGGGAGCTGGCTACACAGGCAAGGCTACGACTCGATCAACTTTCAGCCTGATCCATACGGCCAGGAGTATGTGATTTTCGACAAGAGCCGGGTAGTGTCTATGAGAGGATACTCCTACCACAGATAGTGCCTTTCGGTCGTCTGCTGGATGCACGGTGTTGTCGATGGCTTCTTTTGGCAGTTCCGGCTTACAATGATGAGCTGGAAGTCTGCTTGTCTACCTTTCGCTACTCCAACGTGCTGGCCGCGATTCGAGCTTTCTCAAAGACGTCAGGTCAATACATGCTCAACGTTCATTAGATGACGATACAAGGCATGCACATTTCCAGATTTGCCACTCAGCTTTCGGGTAACCGCGCCCCCGCTTGCGGCCGCCTCTAAACGCAAGCCACGGACATTGTGGAAGTTTCAGCACTCATGCACCACAATTGGAGTTGTGAGAGGCACAGTAGACTCAGCAGACATGTATTTGCAGTGACCCATGACTGTTCATGACCGGACTTTAGGCACCTTGAATGTATGTGGCCTATCGCAGATTGCGATTGCACCGGTGCTTGCGAAAGCATGCAACGAAGGCATCGGCCTCAGCTTGTCCTGTGTGGTGAGCTGCGTCCTGCGCTGTTCAGTACCGAGGCGACAGTATGGCAGTTGCGGAATGTCGAAATCCAGCGTGGCTACACAGCTTTCATCAAGGCCCGGCGGTGTTCTGTGCCCGATGTCGGTGTGGGAGAGGAGGTTGATCGAGCAACATATGGGCTCAATGTGTAAGCCATTGTTGAGCGAATGTCAGTTTTGGGGCAGGATGCCAGCTACTAGCCAGTGCGACATAAGCCATCATAATTACACAACTGGAGAGGACCTTGGACGGCGGAGAGCATGGGCGGCTGCTTTGTCCGTTCTGTCGGAAGCCACGCACCATGACATTTCCCCTGGGACGGTGTCGGCCGCGCTGGCGGCATTCAGCAAGGCGGGGCCACATAGCTTACGCACAAGATTTTGGAATGATGTTGGATGACGTGTTCATCCTTGTCACTGATGCCGCTGTATCGCGTTTTCCAGCTTTCAGCCATTTGCCTGTCTGCACTGTGACAGAACCAGCAGGATTTGAAGTTGTTTTTTGAGCCTTCTTTGCTTTTGCAGGCCAGCCAGTGGACGTTGGCATTACAACTCTTCGAGAGCATGCCATCCCTCAAGGCTGATGCAAACAGGGTTCGTAGGTGCTGTAACTCACACACGTGTTCGATGCTGTTGGTAGGGAGGCACGCAATATGTGCATGCAGTATTGACGATTGCACCGGAAAACTGACGTTTGGAGAGTCCCATGTCTGAGATTCTTCAGGCCTCGCTTGAGTCGCTTTGGCTTTACAGTGCCAAGCTCTGACAAGCATTGTTCGGACGTGGGGAGGTCCTTCAAGACGCGGTGGCGCACAACACGACGGCCGCGGCTTGCCTCAAAAGCGGGTCGGAGCCTCGAAGCTTCGGTGTGCGGCAGGTCGACCCAAAGAGTGGAGAGCACACTGAACCCGAAAACATCCGAAGGCACTGGGCCAGAGCTTTGTTCCTGCTGCACAAGGCACCGCCAGCACCTGGCAAGGCCTCACACTCCCTGTCACTCCAGCGACACACGACTTTGCAGGCCTTCCGTGGCAAAATTCCTCCAACCGTCCGGCACTTGTGACCTTCATGTACCCAGAAGCTCAAGCTCACAGATGACCTACAGATCGCTTGCTGGTTGCTGCAGGTCGTGACCTTCAACACAGCCATCTCGGCTTGTGAAAAAGGCCAATTTCTTGGCATTGGGTCAAGATATGTCCTAGAAAGTGTTTGGGACCGCCTTCGAAAGTAGCACTATGTCAAGCCTTTGTTCTGAGGCTTCCAATGGGAAGGAGCTCTGAATCTGCTGCTGCCCGAGAGTTTGCAGAAGACTGTGCAACGCAGCGTAGCAGTGGTTTTGGTGGCTTAGGATCGCAGTGCAGCCTGTCACAGCCGAACCAAGTTTGCCATGCAGGCTACAGGCAGTCGTTGAGAGCCCGAACTTGCAGTGAACAGCTCAGACCCTCAGATGCAACCTCTGCGTGACGTACATCAACCTGACGAGAACGTATCGATGTTTCGGAGAAAAGCCGAGGCCGAATGTTGCGACCTGCACGGCAGCGATGAGTTCCTGCTGTCGAGGCCTTTCTTGGGAGAAGGCACCAGCACGTGCATTGCACATGGTACACTACGCACTACACATTCGAATCCACATCCGAGTCAACTTGACAGACTTGCTCGAGGCCTTGGCCATTATGGCTGCCATGAAAGATCCGGATGCACCGCCCAGTGCTCAGAGCGAGCGTGGCAACTGCCGGATGTGGGCCTTTTGATGCAGTGCGTGCGGCGAAAGTTAAAGTCGGACCAGTCGTCAGCCCATACTGATGACAGTTTGATAGCTGCAGCAGAGTTGTGGAGTGGGGCAGTGGTCGTTCCCAAGGCAGGCAAACGCATAGCAAGGGTGGTCGCACAGTGATTTCGAGCCCTGCCATCCGAACAAGGCTCCCTCGTCCGGACGCTGCTTGCATTCATCCTGCGTTGTCTTGAAGCATTCGTTGCATGGACGCATGCATGCGTTGCAACTGCCATTGCAGACGCGAGCTGTTGTGCAGGACCTCATAGCCTACAACACGCTTATCTCCAGCTGCGAGCGTGCTTCCGCCTGGGACCGACTTGCAAGTGTGGTGCCGGTCAGCTGACGACTTGGGCCTTTGTCCAGTACAACTCTGCTGGAAGAGCGAGGGAGAGTGTGAGTGTGTGTGTGTGTGTTGCCGAGAGGAGACAGCCCTCGCATTGGTGGCAGATCTCAGCGGAAGCTTGAAGCCCGATGTGTTTGGCTGAGCTTCTGCGGACTGCAGAGTTTTGCACTGCGGTGGCTACGCTGCATGCTGAGGTATTTACCCTTGGTGCCTGTCGGCTCCACAGCTTCGCTGTTGCTCCACTTCTTGACAGTGCGCAGAACAGATGGCAGACTGCAGCTACCAAGAAGTCTGGCAACACGAGCGAGTAGCGGCGACTCCATACGGCAGTCATCCTGAATCCTGAGGCCTCGCCGCCTGCCAGCCGGCCCGGCGTTGTTTTGGGTGTGGGAACACCGATATCAACTCCCGCAGGGCATCTCAGGTCAGGAGCAGCGCGAAGAGCAGCCATACCGATCGTACTGACCGTGACTCAAGCAACACACACATACAATTTCATTGGTTGCGACATCTTGCGGGATGTCGGACGACGTCGTGGCAGGCGATCGCGGCAGTGGCTTTTGGCACTGCACTTGTTGCAATCTTCCCAGACTGACTGGGCACGGAGCTTGGAGAAGTTGAGCGGCATCGGCACGATCGATCCAAGCAGCATTTGCTGGTTCATCCTCCCCTGATCTTTTCGTGGTGTGGAGGCTGTACATCCTGATGTGGTGGCCTACAGCGCTGCGATCAGCGCTTGCTCTGAAGGCCTCGTGGTCGGTTTACCGCATATCAACGCAGGCACTATGAGGTCGCAGAATTTTCTCTGCCGAGCTACTTGTTTTATCTTTCGTCTTGTATAAGATCATAATTTAAATACTTGAAAAGTGTACTCAGGTGCACTCATCAGACTTTTTCATGTTTGCCTTGTCTAGACATCCAGTCTTGAAATTGTCTAAAACCTTGGCAGGGGAAGGCTGGGAGGCCGCTTTTCGACTGGCGGAGCAAATGGCCAAGGCGAGTTGGAAAGCCGGGAAGCAGCGACCATTCAAGACATGCTTGTGCTTGGCGTGCATCGACAAGGACGGTGTCGAGCAAAACCACTTCACATGCAGTGCCTCGACCTTAGCCTGAGTCCCCTGTCGATGTGGCGAGCTGACACCATGCGCTTCTGTGAACACCGACAGGCCTTGATCAAAGCCGCTGAGCACGGGAGGCCTGCCCTCGACCAGCATCTTATAATACATTGTAATGTGGTATAGTACAGAGAATACAGTATCATAAAATACAACTGACGTTGTGATGTTGAGGCAGTGGGACCTGGCTATGGAAATGCTGAGCAGGCTTCGGCTGGGAGGAGGGATTGAAATTCCGAGATCGTTTGTGCGCCTTTGCAGGCATGAACGCCAATTCCATTCGTGCTTCCGCCACGTGTTGCGGTTCCGTGCTGGGCAACGACACCGGGTTCAACACGTAGCGACTCTTGCAGTCTTGCCATGGATTCCATGTGCACGGCAAACCGACGCAACCAGACGATCAGCACCCTACACAGATACACGTCGAAGGATCCAACTGGCAGAGCTCTTGAAAGCATCGCAAGCAGGCCTGACCTTGTCATGTTGAGCAGCATCATGGGTGTGACCCTGAGATGCAGTGCATTCGCTTAGTGACTTAGTGCGCATGTTTTGTTTCAACAGATTACAGAGCAACTACGAGGCGCTTGCGGTGTTTCCTACCAGTGGGTGTGCTGCTCAGGATCGCTTCGTTGGAGTAGGCCGAAATGAGCTGACTGAAACGGGTCTGCCTTCAGCTTTCACTTTCTGGAACAGCCTGCAAAGCATGGTGCAAGGGTCCAACGGTTGAGCAGGAGAAATAGAAACTGCACACGGACATTTCAAATCCACTAGTTATCGCATGACATCATGACATGGAAGTGCACAGGGAAGTCCCAGGCAAGAGAACAATGGTGGGGGGCCTTTGTGGGGTCTTTTGCAGCTCTCGTGTCTGTAAGGCTTGGAGGGAGCTTGCACTTAGGCCCGGGCCCTCCAACTCCTCGCACAGCTGCCGCACCGAAGCTTGAGGACGAAGTGCTCTGAAGAGACGCTAAAAAGCTATGAAACTACATAGGTGCTCACATTGAAGCTGACACGAAGTGCATGTCTGTCTCTGCGTTGTTATTCCCTTTCATGTTCTCGTATCTTACACTTACTGTACGGCGCAGCCGCTTCTGCAGCTGTTGATGCCTGTTGCCCCCAATAGGTGCTCTTCACATGCTGCAGATTCTTGACAACCCGGGCTTTGGGCGGGGGTCCAACCATGCATCGGATCCAAGAACCCCCTCTCTTCTGGCCGAGAGGGTTCAGGGTCGTACAGCTGCAGGTGAACACCGCGAACATGCAAAATTGCCATATGGGAGATCCGAGGCGACAAATTCCAAGACTCGGTCGCTTTTGAACCAGCTTGCACGGACTTGAATCCCTCTTTCACGCGCTCGTTCGGTCTCAGGGGTTGAGCATGTTCAAGCGTCTTGAGTGAAGTCACGCCACTGGCCTGGCATGCGGATAGCAACATAGAACTCCTGTGCTCGGACAAGGCTAGCTGAGGTCTCACCACTTCAAGATACATGGCATGGCTGTGACTTGAGCCCTGCCACCCCACAAGCTTGGGCAAGTGTTGCATGAAGCTTGACCCACTGCTTCGCTACACAAAAAACGTTGCTGAACCGTGCCAAACTCGTATGTATTCTGTAGCCCATTTACCGACCCTCCAGCCGCCATGTGACGGTTCTGCCTTGGGCTGCGTCCGTCGCACTATGCCAGCTTTGCCCAAACTCAACTAGTGTTGAACAGTCAAGGTGCTAGAACATCCGCTGAACGGTCCCTAGTGGAAGCTGATGCAAAGTCGTTTCCAAGTCATTTGTGGGGTGAGGGCATGGTGATGCTGTGCTTGTAATTAACGCCTCTACGAGTCACTGGAGTCGCTGCATCGGGCAGCCACAATGGTTGCGGTCAAGCAGCTATTGGTTGTTGCGCAGGCCAGACGTCGTGGCATATGGGGCGGCCATTGATGCATGTGCGTCAGCGGCACAATGGCTGCAGGCGATCCGCATGAAGCGATGTGAAAATGGTTGCTGCGTGCAACTGGCTTGCAAGGCAGTTGCCCTGCTGGGTGATCTGCGTTCGGCACGATTGTCACCCAATGTCCCCAGCTTACTGCTTGTGCTGAGCCCAATCTAGCAGAATCTAGCATCACTTGTTCGTGTAGCGCCTTAGGTTGTGGTTTATGAGAAGCTGCAGCAGGCTCAGACTTGCAGAGATTCGCAGTTTGGATCCTGCTCGTTGCAAACGTTCTTCGCTGCTACGATGGCGTTTGCTGTTGCCCAGGTTTGCAAGCTTCGAGCGCAGCGGAAGTTGGGAACAGGCCTCCATGAACCCCCTGCAAGACGAGAGCTGGTCAAGAGCTCAATGGTCCTGCAGCCACAGCACAGGCAATTGCTCTTCTGGACGAACTTTGTGATCAGCAGTTGATGTCAGATTCTCAGATTGCCAGAAGGAGGCACAGGTTCGAGTTTCACGAAGGAATGCAATGCCTAAGCAGGCTGATCATAAGCCTGAAGGGTTGCTTCGCGGAAACTGTCAGCTTGAGGGAGAGGCGAACCATGGCAAAGTGCAGAAAATGCTTCAAGCTGAACTTGTCTGGCCTTATGCTTGTTGAGGCTGCCTTAGTGCACTTAGATTGGGTCGCACTAAGTTATGTCTCAGCTGCAGTCCTTCTGTGGCTGAACTGGAGGTAAGTGTCACGCCCGTGAACTCCACTGTGTTTGAGTGGTGGTAGTATGTGAAGCTCAAGTCAGACCATTTTGGTTTAGGGGCTTACCGGGATTGCATCTCGCCGAAGGCTGCACTCGAGTTGAACAGCAACAATAGCAGCAACAACAGCTGCCGCGAGAACCCCCATTGCAGCCGCCTTCCGGAGCGGGAACCATTGAATTGAGAGGCCAGTAGACTTGGCCTGACGACAGGCCTGACGCAAATACTTGGAGGGCGGTGCTACGAGCCTGCGAGGAGTCGAGCCGCTTCCCCAGTTTCTGACCCCGAGAGGCGCTTGCACCGGCGATCATGCCAGGTATGTGGCAAGCTGCCGTGGAACTTGTGGCGGCTATGCGCCGAAGTTCTCCAAACCACGGCACCTGCAGTCGGTTGAAAATGAGTGTGCCAACACTGCATCGCCTTTGAGATCCCAGCAGAGAAGCATGAAGCTCACAAGACGTGCCTTGGCACGGTCATGTAGCGATAAGGATATGTAATGTTCATTCTGACGAGTGTAGCTGCCCCCAACCTTGCCGTCTCGTCAAGAAATATACAAGTTAATCAGGGGCCTGTGCTTTCATTTCATTCAATTAACGAAGACGCTTCTCTCACGTACGTTTGTTCATTGCTTTTGGTTCATGGAAATGGACACAGCACCTTAGAATGGTTAGTGCCTGTGGAAGATTTTGGAAGGAATAGGAACGAGTTTCATTAATGTGAAACGACAATAAACGAAACCTGCGCAAGCTTAGGTGATTATGTTAAATTATGCTCTTTTCCAACCCAACGGAATAAACGAAAGAAGAACGTGACAAGGAAGAGCTGCGCCTTCCTTGTGTTCTTTCCTTTCATCAGTTCTTTCATGTTTCGTTCCTTCCATTTGCCTCCGCTCAGTCTCCGCTCCTCACTTGCCAGTATATCCGGGTTGTGGGCATGAGCGGTTAGAAGAGTTACGCCAAAAATGCTCAAGCAAAATACAGGGTGAAGCGCGTGGTTTTGCCCTTACAGTTGTTGTTGATTCCTTCCCCAAAAGACCAGTTGTGTTCCTTTGTGAAAGAAGGCCAAGAAAAAGTCTACAATAGGAAACACCCGTGCATCTAGTTCCAGCTGCAGCGGTAAGACTCATGAAACGACGAGTGTTATCCAGACAAAGCGTTAACAGGGTTCGGTGTCTTGGCCGCAGTTCTGTGTGATTTCTTCATCAAAAAATGTAAGGAACACGTGCTTACTTGGAACACGTGAAAAACGCACAGCACAGAGGCGGGATACGCAAGGTATCACGCAGTCTGTAAACCGGATCTGCTTCATGTGCAGGGCGGCGCTAGACTCCCAGGGCTTGTAATCTAGGGCCTCAAAGATGTCCGAGACCGGAAAGCTTGCTCAACTGGGGGGTCCCACACCAATCAGGAATGGATATTCCTCCTGACTGATGACTGTGGAAGCGTTCGTCGGCGGGGCATCTTTGTTGCGCTGTTCACTGTGAATTGGCTTGCAGCTGTGGTTTCATTCAGCAAGTGCAACCAACCGCACCAGTGGCAAACCAGAATGCACTTGCCGCTTACCCACTTCAAAACGCTGCCATACGCAAGTTCTGGTTGATGAGGCAGCTGCATGTTGCGTCCGACTGCCTGCATACAGTATCTGCAAGGGTTCTGCAGGAAGCATAGCACATGTTGGGCTTCCTTTAATTCATGCTGACGTCGCTTCATGGCATCGGGATGCTTGCCCAAGCGAGCACAGCGAGATGGCGCTCAAGAGGCAGCGACACAGAATTGAAGGGGCTTCAGATCCCAAACTCAGTCCTGACAGGTGGGCCGTGCGCCAGTTGTCAGGGTTCCTGTCGGACTACTTGGAGGGCATCACTGAGCAAAACCTGCAGGTTCCGGAGCAGTGGGGAAAGTTGCACCCATGCAGTTTAGAGAAGCGCAGTATCACGCCGGATCTGGAAGACATGTCAACATGCTGCGCCTGGCACCTTTCTGGGTTTCCCGTCCGCAACGCAGCAGCAACTCCGTCGCTCAAGGCTTCCTTGAGCTTGGAGGTCGGTGAGGCCAGACATGCGCTCCGATGTTTTGCTGTGCCTTCTGCATCGACTCGTGTATATGTTGCGACGGCAGAGGTGGAAATCCGGCATGCCGTGGGCTTGGAATGACTTTCGGAGTGCTTCCCAGTGCCACCCCAGAAGCATGCAGGTTCGTGTCCATGGAGAACTTCTCAAAGATCAGCACTTTTCCTTGCTTAGCAGCGATGTCAGCGTTTCAGCCTCAACGAAGCTCTGTCGCTACTTCGCGCCGTCTGCCCCGACGTAACTCACGTTTTCACACCGAGGTGTTTGCACGGATCCCTTGGCGCAATCTCGGTTCTGAGCCAACGGCGACTGCCTCACATAGCTTGCCTCACATGCCTGAAGCATTTTGAGTCTGGCATGGACTTGCACAGCTGCCGAAGGTCATCACGGTGAAAGATGTTTGGATAGAAGTGGAGGCTAGGTGATGGCCTGAACGTCCCGTTCCCAAGTCTCGCCGGTGCCAGGCACGTACTGAAGCTTCAGCGGCCAAATCAGTGGACCCTGCGGAGGCGAGTGCATAATATGGTGCTGGACTAACAGGGTTAACGAAAGGAGATTTCGTCGAGTTCTGCTCTTTCAGCTTTTATCAACTGTCAGCTAGGAAGGGCAGAACCTGTGTGTGTGTTTTGTTTTTGTGTGTGTGAGAGAGAGAGAGTGGCAGACAAGCAGGCCAGGGCGAAGGCGGAGGAGGAGCTGCAAAGGCAATGCGTCACTTTGTTGTGACACTTTTATATTTGCTATCGGACGTGCACGGGTGAAAGTTCAGGTGGAGACAGCGGAAAAGAAGCAAAGTTGAGGTTGGTTCTTGAGCCACCATGTGCAAATGCTGATGCCAAGTCTTCAGCTTGCCGTGACCAGGCACGGGTAGAATCAGCGCGACTGGCGAACACTGAAGAAGCCCAGCCCAAGCCAAAGTGTGTTGAGGAGGCAAGCACGGTTTCTGCGTCGTGCATCTTCTGTCCAAGGCCCCGACGGGGAATGGCAGCACGGCTTGGCCATGCACATCTCTCAGCTCTGCAAAGCTCTGCCTGGCAGCTTCGCTTTGATTTCCTTCGGCTTCAGACAGCAATGCTGACAGGCAGCGCTGCGTCAGTTGCAGGTGGGGAAAAAATTCGCGGCCTCTTGAAAGGACACTTGGCAATTACTTGTGGCATCTGGTGGCAGGTCAGGGTGGACGGCTTGAGAGCACGCGTGCACAACGAGGTGCGGATCATAGCTCAAGTCTCCTCAGCGATTTCTGAGGATTCTTCAACCAAGTCAGCACTCTGGGATGTACACCTGTCTGATACTTTGAGGTTGTCTCATCATCAACCCTGGATCTTTCGCTGGTCCGGTTGGCCTTGGACGAGGGCAGCTCCAAGCCGGATCATAGAACCGAGGTGCCAGCAGAGGCGCGCTGAAGTGTAACGTGGCCAGGCCCGGAGCTTTGGCCCTCTTTCGAAAGGTGCAGCGTCATCCGGCATCACTGGACAAGATCTTGGAATTGGTGCGGAGCCCACGGCCTGCAATAAGTTGCTTGTACGCCTTCCGGGAGCGGCAGCGCAGGTCGGGCTTTGCGGGCAACGGACGATTTCGAAGGAAGACAGCCCTGGGCCAAATGCGGAACGACTCAGGCACGTGCATGCGAGCCCTGCAGACGCCAAGGTTCCAATTTGTGGCCGTCTCTGCGGTCACGGCCCTCAGATCCTCAGCACCCGGCAGTCCGCCAGTCTGGTCTGTAGCCGTCTCCGTGTGGCTTTTGCAACTGTGGCTCAGAAGATATATAGGCACGCAGGTGTCCCACGCACAGCAGCTCAAGCAGTTACATGAACAGTCAACATCACAACGAACGCAACTTCACTGTTGAGCTGAAGTACGCATTGCGTTTCCATTGCCGCTGCATCACCGCACCATGGAGCTTGCCAGCTCAGTGCAGGTCGACTTGCCCGGAAGGGTTGTAGGGTGACTCGGGGTGGTTCGAACCTACAACGGAACTCTGCTTCGAACGTGTTAAAGCTCTCGAGAACGTGTGGCAATGAGCCAGGGCCCTGTGGCTCGAGCGCATGCGGCTCGTATTCACGAGCCGCGCGGTGCTCCCGACAGAGGTGCGCCGTTGCCATGTTTCGCGATGCAAAAAATTGCCCGGACAGTCAGTTCCCCGATTCCTTACAGCTCTACGGACTCTTACGGTTTACGCATAGCGTCTCGCGTATCTGTCGAATTTGGCACCATGACCGATTGGAGCTCGCAGGTATCCAAGCAGCAACGCAAAGAAAGAGATTTGCCACGGCGATCGGGTTTGGCATCTCGTTGAATTTGGCTTGGGCCAAACAAGCACAGGCCCGTTCGAAACGAAGTGTGCGGAGGGCCCATGGTCAAGGCCGTCACGGGCGCCGAGAGGTCCTGTCGATCGGAGTGGTGACCCCGTTGGTTGTGCCGTTGGCAGCCAAAGCCGAAGCGGAACCCCCAACGGTGTCGAAGAAGGTTTCCGAAGGTGTCTACATCTTCGACCAAGCATATGGCATCCCCGGGCTTGGAGTTGGTCGTTGCCTCGGCCCTCGGAAACTGTTGGAGTGAGCTTCTAAGCCACAACTGCCGGATCTTAGGTGCCAATATTCCCATCCGCATGTCCGTGCTGAGCCTTGAAGGTGGCGGTTACTTGGTTTACAACCCATGTCACCCAACTGCAGCAGCTTGGCTGCACCTCACTTTAGCAGCAAAGCAGAAGCTGTCAAGTGAAGAGATTACGTGTGGTGATCGCTTCAGGAGGCTATGCAGATGTTGAAAGATTTTGGCCTGACAGACGTGCGATATATTGCTTCTGGGCTGGCATGTGGCACCAGCACCTCAGGACCTAAGCACGGAAAGAAAGGAAACTATTTCCTTGTCGTCTGAGGTATGTGGCACTGTTGCCATTGAGCACAAGTATTATGCTCCTCAGTGGGCAGAGCTCTTTCCAAAAGCAGAGGCGCCGATGTGAGATTTGGGAGGAGTGAGTCGTAGCAGAGTGGGCACGCACCTGCGCCTGATCAGGTGTGGATAAGTCCGCGGACATTTAGCTGGCCGGTCAATTTCGGACCTTATGCTCCTAAGCTGCATTCGGTTGCCATGCGAAGTTCATTGCTGCAGAAGGGAAGCCAAGAGATCAGCTCTGGACCAGGTTCCAGTGGGAGGCTTTTCAAGGAGCACACCACTGCAGAAGATTCCCAAAGATGCATCGTTGGCACCGTGGTCCTCCAAGGCTGTGCCGGATACATGGGGTCGAGTCAGACGCCTGTCAAACTGTCATGGAACAAGCTGCTTATCTGGCAGGGCATCGACCACCTTCAACTGACCGTTGACTACGCACCGCGAACGGTCTTTGAAGAGACGGTGCTGT